AAAAGGTGTCATAAAGGGTAAAGTAGATATTTTGCCTACAAAAAATGACTTTTTTTTGAAGAAATTAGTGCAAATTAAAATTTTTTTTTTATGCATTTTCAGTTTTAGTGAAATTTATGTAAATTTCCTTATAAATAATTGGTGTTGTGGATCCAAGTCCACTAGTTGAACGCCACGTGTGCTTCTTAAGCACACAATTTTGCCTATATAGGCAAGGGCTTGGTGCCGAGTGAGAAACGCATACGCACTACAGACACTGTAGGAGTTGGGGAGAGAGACAGGTGTTTCGTTTCTTTTTTTCCTCTCTCTTTAATCTCGGAAGAGTCTGGGTTTTTTCAATCTTGTTTTGAAAAATGTTTATCGAGAACTTTAAGGTTGACAGCCCAAATGTTAAGTACACTGCGTCTGAGATTCATTCATTGTACAACTATGAAACCACAGAGCTTGTTCATGAGAACAAAAATGGCACCTACCAATGGACTGTCAAGCCGAAGACCGTCAAATATGAGTTCAAGACTGATGTCCATGTTCCCAAATTAGGGTCTGTCTATTTGCATATAATATATGCATGTATATGTATTGTTTGATTTTTGTCTTTGTTGTGATATTGCTGTTTCGATTTTTTGTAGGGTTATGCTTGTTGGATGGGGAGGTAACAATGGCTCAACACTTACCGGTGGTGTCATTGCAAATCGCGAGTGAGTTTATTATATTTGTTTAAATCGCATAGAACTTTTACAGTGGTGTTTTTACCATATATATTTGTTCAAGATTTGCAAAATTAATCGTGATTTAAACGAGGGTTTACCGTTTGATGGAATGGAATATATGGCAAAAATTTCACATATGATGAGTTCATGAAAATTGGCAGAGGAATTTCGTGGGCTACAAAGGACAAGGTGCAACAAGCCAATTATTTTGGCTCTCTTACACAGGCATCCTCAATCAGGGTTGGATCTTTCAATGGAGAAGAGATTTATGCTCCATTCAAGAGCTTACTCCCGATGGTACCCATGTTTTATTTTTATGTTTTTTTATAATTTCAATTGTTGGGTATAATAATTTTTATTATTTGAATGTGATTAGGTCAACCCAGATGACATTGTTTTTGGAGGATGGGACATCAGTAAAATGAACTTGGCTGATGCCATGGCCAGGGCTAGGGTATTTGATATTGATCTGCAGAAACAATTGAGGCCCTACATGGAAAACATGGTCCCACTCCCTGGAATCTACGACCCAGATTTCATAGCTGCCAACCAAGGTGCTCGTGCTAACAACGTGATTAAAGGAACCAAGAAAGAACAAGTTCAACAAATCATCAAGGATATGAGGTATAAAATCAATCAATTTTGCTTAAGAAAGGTAAAAGATGGACATAAAAATTGGTGATTTTGTTTTGAACTTGTATTAAATAGGGAGTTTAAGGAGAAAAACAAGGTAGACAAGGTAGTGGTCCTTTGGACAGCCAACACAGAAAGATACAGCAATGTAATTGTTGGGCTAAATGACACTGTGGAAAATATCTTCGCCTCACTGGAGAAGAACGAGGCTGAGATATCTCCTTCAACCTTGTATGCCATTGCTTGTATTCTTGAAAATATTCCTTTCATCAACGGTAGCCCACAAAACACATTTGTTCCAGGTAATTAGCTATTACTTGTTCAATTATTTGTCCAATACTACATGATAACATGTAGAAACTTAGTTTTCTTATAGAACTCCAAGTGATGAGGGCTATTTGAATTTTCAGGCCTAATTGATTTGGCCATCCAAAGGAACAGTTTGATAGGTGGAGACGACTTCAAAAGTGGTCAAACCAAGATGAAATCCGTGCTTGTTGATTTCCTTGTTGGAGCTGGTATTAAGGTATACTATGTATACAATTCATTTTTGTACATGGGATTATATTCTTCCTTTTCTAGTTTCTTAAAGATTCTTGGTGTGGGGGTGTTTATGTGTGACTGCAGCCAACATCGATAGTGAGCTACAACCACTTGGGAAACAATGACGGCATGAATCTGTCGGCCCCGCAAACATTCCGTTCCAAGGAGATTTCCAAAAGTAATGTGGTCGATGACATGGTTGCTAGCAATGGCATACTCTATGAGCCCGGAGAGCATCCTGATCATGTGGTTGTCATCAAGGTATGATCCTAAAATTTCTATACCATCACATGATTGATTGATCTTATTTTGTGTTTGACGAATGGATGGATGGTGCAATGTGAATGTAGTATGTACCGTATGTGGGAGATAGTAAAAGGGCAATGGACGAGTACACATCGGAGATTTTCATGGGTGGGACAAACACCATCGTGTTGCACAACACATGCGAGGACTCTCTTCTTGCTGCTCCAATCATCTTGGATTTGGTGCTCCTTGCTGAACTTAGCACTCGCATACAGCTCAAAGCTGAAACAGAGGTCTGTTCGGTCTTGCAGTTTTAAGTGGCTTTTGATTAAATAAATTACACTTAACTGTTGAGTACATTTGCAGGGCAAGTTCCACTCATTCCACCCCGTGGCTACCATTCTCAGCTACCTCAGCAAAGCCCCGCTTGTAAGTTTTTTCTCATTAGTGTTTAATTTTTTCCGAAGGGATCAAAATTGTGTCACATTACTCATCCTTGGTTTGAATCTTCGATGTAAGTGCGTGTTTAATAAACCGGGGAAGATTACATATCACTTAATAGCGTTATTCCACTCGACGAAATTGAATCTGTTTAAACAGATACAGATATCGAATGAAAAATTATAGTAACATACTGAATGATATGTAAAATACAAGAATTATTGATGTATGCTTATGACAAATAGTTAGCAACGTTTGAGAGAGTTATTTCAGTTGGATGGTTCACGAGAACAAATAATTAATATTTGACCTTTTAACATGAATACATTCAATATTGCTCTCAGAAAACATGTGGTCCAACACACTTGTTAGGGAATTTCATTTAATTCTTGTGTACTTGAAACACGAGATGGGTCAGGATGCACAAGTTGTGTTGGTGAGTCACATGAATCGAAGGGACCTGTTTGGTGTAACAAGATTAGACATGATTAAAAAAGAAATGCATATGATAAATCAGTAAATGACGGTGTATTGAAAAACAGGTACCACCGGGCACGCCAGTTGTGAATGCACTTTCGAAGCAGCGGGCAATGCTCGAGAACATAATGAGGGCTTGTGTTGGATTGGCTCCTGAGAATAACATGATTCTGGAGTACAAGTGAAGATTATCATATCATAGTTCAACCAATGGGCAAAAGAACCATTTTCCTTCCTTGTTCTCTCTTCTATTAATTAGTACAAAACTATGTTAACTGTGTTTTGCGGTGTGAGATCTATTATCATATCGAGTGTATTTCAGCAGCTTTTAGCTCGAGTAACTTGTGAAATAATATTTAGCTTATTCAGAAATACTCTGGGTTTTATATTTTTATTACTAATGGATCGAACTCATCTTAGAACGATTTAGATCATACTTTAAAACTCATTTTCAATAGTTCATTTTCTCAACAAAATAATTATACATGTAAATCTTTTCCATTTTTTTTTTTTTTTTTTTTTTTTTTTTTTTTTTCCCCAATTATAAATTTAAATTTTTTTCTTTTTTTTTTTTTTTTTTTTTTTTTGACTTTTCAGCCAGACATTTAAAAATCACTTTTTCTGAATTAATTGTTCCAATGGTCACTGAACTTAGGTCCATGTTTTTTATTAGCCATTGTAAATCTTTTTCCTTTTTTTTTCTTTTTTTTTTTTTCAATCATACATTTAAAAATCACTTTTTCTAGAGTTAATTGTTCCAATGGTCACTGAATTTAGGTCAATGTCTTTGATTGGTCACTGAATTTTAAAATGTCGAGTTTTGGTCACTGAATTTAGATCTATGTCTTTGATTGGCCATTGAACTTTAAAATGTCAAGTTTTAATTTGGCCACTGAATTTAGTCTCATGTTTTCGATTACTCACTAAAATTTAAAATGTTCAGTTTTAGCCACTAAACTTTGAAAAATGTTGTATATTACTCACTGAAATTTGAAAATGTTGTACATTATTCACTGTAAACTCGATATTTTTCAAAGTTTAACAGTTATGCTAATAAGTAACGTACGGCATATTCCAAGGTTCAGTGACCAAAACTCAACATTTTAAACTTTAGTGAGCAATCGAAGATATGGACCTAAATTTAGTGATCAAAACTCGACATTTTAAAGTTCAGTGACCAATCAAAGATATGAACCTAATTTCAGTGATCAAAACTCAATAATTTAAAGTTTAGTGGCCAATCAAAGATATAAATCTAAATTCAGTGACCATTGGAACAATTAACCCCACTTTTCTAGAAAATCTATTCCAGAAAAAGGGGATTAATTGTGTTAATCGTCCACAGGCTTTTAATAGTGTCGCAGTCGTATTATTTATTTATTTACTTATTTTGGTAACATCTATTTGAAGATTTTAAATTTATGGACTGTACAAAATTTATTAGCCCTTGTTTGACAACCATATTTTTCAAACTCTTTTTTTTTTCTACATACTTATTTTTAATCACATATTTACGTAATAAAATATTTACATATAAACCTTAAAATTTTCCCATTTTTTAACTACATATTCTTTTAAAGATCACTATTCCAAACTCTCTTTTTCATAACTCACCCCTGTGACAATCACTTTTACAAAAAAATTTCCTTTTTTTTTTTCAAATTTATTTTCAACCACACAGTTTCACGATGAAATACTCTACACATAAATTCAATTTCTTTTTCTACTTTTAACTACACATCATCCAAAAAATAACTATTTCAAAACTCATTTTTTTTTAAAAGTATTTTTAATGATAACAATGACTCATTTTCAACTACACATTAGCTCAAAAAATAATTTTACACAAACTCAGAACTTTTTTTCTATTTTTTAATCATACATTCTCCAAAAAAAATAACTATTTCGACAAAAAAAAAAAAAAAAAAAAAAAAGGCAGGGGCTAAAATAGGAGCTAACTTTGACTGTACTTTCTTATGAGGTCCATAGAATGACTGGTCACTAAAATGTCAATGAATAAAAAAAGGGAAATCATCAAACATTTAACTTGAGATGAAATAACTTCCTACTACACAATAATTTGATAGGATACAATCAAATATTGAACTAAAAAAAAAATAAAAAGAAAAATGAACTTATCTGCTAGCTGCAATAGTGTTTGAATGCAGTAGCGCAGTCATTGCGCGCTCTCTTCGCTTACAAAAGCAATATTATTTGAATTACTTCAATGTATCAAAGGTGGGTAGTGAAGTCTAGCCATCTATGCATGAGGATCTTCATTGGGTGTTGCCTCTAATTTTTGTCTATATAGTGCCAAGCTCTGCAGAAAGAAAACAAGTGGTCAAAGATAATCCAAATATCTGATTACCTACAAATAATTGAAGGATTTCAAATAACATTTCATGTTCCAAATGCTTCAAATGGTTATGCTCCTTGAGGAGTTCGATAACTGCAATTTTTAGCTACTGTATCAGTCCACTGGTCAAATGCTTATTTGAACGTGCCAATCCTAAAGAAATCTATCGATGCTCCACCATTTAAGTAAATAGAATTCTCCCTTATCAGCATACTCAAGCTACTATGGTCATTCCTACAATTTGTTTTACGGTGGAGGTAACATAATCATGTGATTCGTGTTTACAGAACAATAATCAGGTCTAATGACGTGGTCCAGATTAAACTATAAAAACTTTTACATGTGAAATTCCCTTAATTTATTAAGGTTGAGGATGATCTGGAAAAATATAGCATAACACTCTTCATTTGACAAAATAATAAAAGAATCGCATACAACTTATATACCTCTGTATATGCATAAACACCAGCCTCTGAAGATCCAACGGGACTTCCTCTCCTGATGAAGTTTTGGTCCTTGTATATGTAGAGCATTGGCACACCAGTTGAGAGTTCTAAATTGATAACCTGTTAATAAAAAACCAACAAAACTTTAAACCAATGTAATGGTATAGGTATCCTAGAGGATGGTAGGTAGCGTTTGTCACCTCCTGAGGAGTCAGTTTATCAAGATACATTATAATAGACCTCAGTGAATTTGCATGAGCTACAACCATCACATGTCTTCCCCTCAAAAGCTGGGGCTCAATCTGCAAAAATAATTTCCCCATGTATTCTTTGGTGCAAACCTTGTTGTCATTTATTCTCAAACTTTAATGTAAAGTCGGAGCTGCGCTTACGTTATCTTTGAAGAAAGAAACTGCTCTGCCCAAGCACATCTCCAAGCTCTCTCCATTTGGAGGCTGAACATTGTAACTTCTACGCCATTTATGAACCTGCTCCTTCCCATATCTTTCAGCTGTTTCCTGCTTATTAAAACCCTGTAGCTCTCCATACCTACAGGCAGAAGCATATGTTTTACCAGAAACCAAATGTTACATGGCATGCAAAGATGACAAATGAGCAAGAAGAAAGGCATGAAATTACATTCGCTCATTAAGTTGCCATGCCTTAACAACAGGAATAGATTCCTTCTTGGTGCCGTCACTATAAATTTGACTCCATATCCTTGCTTGTTCAGTCTCCTTATGAATAATTATAGGCACCTGAGAACTTTTGAGTAGGTTAACTGCCAACACATATCAGGTATTAATCTGGGTTTATTAGTCCCCAATCCAAAACTAGATATAAGGGGTGTCAACCGAACAAAATTCATAAGTGGTTGTTAATGAAGTTAAAGTTACTAAATTCTGAAGAGTCAGTATCAATTTATGCCGAATTGCTCCACATATAATTCCTCGAACCACATTTTTTAAAAGACCTAGAGCCAATCCGAATTGATCTTGTAAAAGATAGAAATGCATTCATTTCCTCTGCATTGATATGATCGATAATACTATTGGAGTGAAACAAGGGATTTAAAGAAAAACACAGGCTAGACTAGATTGGTAACAAGTAAACCTATTGTGTGTATATCTCCAAAAAATCGTTACATTTGAGCACATAAATTATTAATCTGGAGGTTCAGCATATACCAAATAACCTCGAGTATTTTCAGGACTGGATATTCAATAAAATTACTTGTAAACAAATTTGAATGATTACGTAATGCACAGAAACATATAATTCTTTAAATTTCAGATGATTGTATGCAGCTTGGTGATTATCAACTGTGGCCAGCTATGCATTTTGCTTTAACCTTTTTACTCAAGAAAATTCTAAACCAAGTGATAAAGATAATATTAAGTCACAGGATATCAAAGAAGATACAAAACCTCAGAAGAAGAGGAAACAGGCTATGCTTGTAAACATTGCATTAAGATCGAATACAGCATCATGACTAAAGAGTGCATGTAAAAATGCATTTGACAAAAACCAGCAGCAACAGTTATCTAGCCATGGACGCACACGCATGCTGGAGATGCACAACATGCTTGTGCTGTCGCTCTTACTTCTGATTTTTGAATCTAAAGATGAACTGAATTCGTTGGGATGAATCAAAGACAAAATTCTATCCAATCTTTTGGAGATTATTCGGAAACATATGAAGACTTTGACTACAATGAAAAAACATAAATTAGTTTGTACAAAGTTTGAAATGCTCTGTACGTTTCATAATACAGTCATAATGTAAGAATAGGAACGTTAAAACTTGATTCTTGTTCGTAATTATAAGAAAATATGAACTGGAATTTCATATTTTCTCCCATTTAGCCCCAAACCTATAAATGAAGAAATGCTTAAAGAAAAATTGTTCAAATACAAATTTGAGAAACAATTTCGGCAGAGAGGTACCTTCAGGCAGCGGTGCTCTGTTAGTGCAAGCATAGCAGTCATTTGAGAACGAATCAGTGCCGACATGTAGATGATGTCCAAAGGCAAGTTACTAATTCTCTTCCCAGCTTCAATCGCTTCTTCTACTCCTTTTGACGTTAATGGTACATCCACACAACCAGTGAACAAGTTCTTCTCATTCCACATTGATTCTCCATGTCTAATCAAAATCAAAGTAGACTCATCTGTAAAAAATGTATTGTTGACTTAGGTATGTTCATGTACAGGACTCATAAACCAATTCAATCAGAAATAACAAGCACACACAATAAGAAAAAGTAGTAACACCGCCCCAAATTGATTACTGAATAAAGGAAGAATGATATGTAATGGAACTTACTCTCTGTTGTTTGAGAGTTGCAAGCATTCTTGTGCAAGGAGAAGACAATTGGAAGAGCCCTCAATTGATTTGACGTGTGAATAGAACATAATTTATACACATTAGAAACGTTAGTTTGTTTTATGCACATTAGGTTAATGTTTTGAAGTCTGACTCCAAGTGATCTAGGGGGAAAATCTTGAAAACCCTTGCTACAATTACAAGCACCACCACCTCCTTTAATCAACTTGGAACATACAGCTTGGTGAAAAGCAGAGCTAGCCATTCTTGAAATCCAAAATGACCCTTCAAAGTATAATATATTCAGATTAAATTAGCAATCTCAGAAAAAACTGGTGTGTATACTTGAAACATTTCTACTCCATCAGATGAAAGAATCGATTAAAACATATTGGTGTCAAGAAAATCTTGTGATTTAATAAGACCATGCCCATTCCCAAACATGCTCCATAAAAGATCATTCAATTGAAACATTGATTAATGCTCATAAATTTGACTACCCATAAGCACAGTCAAAAAAGGAAACCCGAATATAATATATGTACGTTTGTGTGTGATGAATAAAAAAAAACTATTTCATTTAAATCAATATGATCAAGTTTTTCAACAATTGAAGAACAGGGAACCAAAGCAGCATTGATTTTAAAAAAGGACGACCTAAGACAGAGAGTGGAGATGAAAATGTAAACTTGTTCAAAAAGGGGAAAAAATGCATAGGTATGATTTGTAGTTACCTCAAATTAGGGTGAAATTGTAATCAAATTTCAGAGGGATCTCAACGAGGATCATGGAGAACCTAAAGCGTGGAATGGAAATTGCCGGCGACGTCGTAGCAGCAGAAATTGCTGTGCTTGGGGCCTTGGGCCGGATTCACTTTTTGGCCGGAGCTTAAACGAGGATTCTGTGATAAAAAGCACTAAACGGACCGTTTAAACGGGTTTTGTTTTATTCTTATTATTTTTTTTTTTATGTATGTCAGCACTCCTTTAACCTTTTTAATTTTATGCATCTTAAGAAAATAATTGCTTTCAATAATTATGTGGATTCAATTAATGGGGATAACATTAGATTGCAACACTATTGTATTATGAATGTATGATTCAACTAGATCCAGAATACACTCGAAGAAAAAACACGATAAAAATTGTTAGTATATGAGAGCTTGTGATGGGACAATCATTCATTGTATTATTATTGTATGAGTTTGTATTATTGTACTATTGACCATGTGCTTTTTAAAAGACGGTCTCGTACACCTTATGTATACAGTATATTTAAATTATTGATATACTGAGTTTGTCATTTTGTAAAAAACAAATTTCTTGCTTTTAAACAACTCAAGTCTCGTGCTCCTTGTGGCATTGTGAACGTAAATTATGGAAGGGTGCAAGAATTGATAATTGTGTTTAAAATCTGATAATGTTCCATTTTTGTATCCACATATTTCCTATTCATTATTTTCTTCTAACTCATTCATTATTTTCTTCTAACTCAAACTATAATGGTCCAAATCTACATTCGTTCAACTTTTGACATGCTGAGTTTAAATGATAAGCTTTGTACTCACGGCTCGTGCTCATTAAAATTTACTAACTTTTTATCAAAAACTGTCAAATGACCCTTGTTCTTTCCAAATGAACCTTTACTTGAAAAACAATTAACTGATCTTTGACACACTCAGCTAACATTAAAAGATAAATCATGTTCCCAATGGAGCATAACAATGTTATTAGTGATCTCAATATAAAAGAATGCAATCTCATTAGGTTCATCAAAGAGAGGTGCACGACAAAATTTGTAAATCAAAAGTCACTGACGTTCAAGAAATCATGGCACAGAGAAAATAGATTGAACTTTGTAGAACTTAGCTACGAATGGATCACCAAAACAATCTGTTACAACTTACAAGCATTTTTCAGCACAAAAATATGACATCTATTTCAACCATCCAACTTTGCAAGCCACAGTGTTGTGATAAGATAACAATGTCTTGAATAAATCAAGAAAAGCTAAAGACGCATCACAGCATTGTTCAGAAACAATAACAACCCAAATACACCATTGACAATAAGGCATTATAACATATATCAGATTCTACATGGATGCAGAAGTCGACAATCAATTGCTTCAATCCTCGGCTTCCTGGTATTTCTGGAGGATCTGGGGGCAGCTAGCCAAAGGCACATCCTGGAGGAATCCCATAGCATTGGCATAACGAGCGTCAGAAATCATGCCATTGTTGCGGGTGAGGATAACTCTGGCTTTGTCCCTGCCCAAGTTAGGAGTGCTGCATTCAGGATCTGAGCTCTTGGCCAAAACTGCATCACATGCATCGTCTCCACGGTCACTCTGTACGAGGATATTGTATGTTCCCGTTGAGTCGGTCACACCCTCAACCTCGTATGTAACTTGTGAGGTGTACCTGTCTTTGCACACAATTTTGACAAGAGCACCTGGCCAATACAAGCATCAGACAATGATGATAAATATTATGTTTATGGTACAAGCCATTTTGCATCATAAATCAATTTTGTAGTGCCTTTATGAATTTATTTACATTGCACCAAGAAAACAGAGGTGCTGGTCAATGCATTAAGGATAAAATAGGAAACGATATCTTAGGTCATCTCCAACCCCGCACCAAAATTTGAGGAAAGTTTTGCAAAATTTTACACTAGATCTTGCATCAAAATAAAAATCATCTCCAACCATTACATCAAATGTGCAATCTTTAATAATTTTCTTCACCTTTTCTATTCTTAACAATTTATTTATTTGAAAAATTATTTCTTTATTTATTTCACAAATACATAAATTACTAAATAAATAATTACGTTAAATTAACAAAAACATTAAATTCATTAATAAATATAAAATAATATGAAACACTAAAAAAATTTTAAATAATCGTGTTTGTTATATTTTTATTTTTTTTATTTTTTATTCTTATTTTAATTAATTCATTAACTATTATTTTTTTACATTATTAAAATTCATTTTAAATAATAATAATAATAATAATTTATTGTATTAAAAAATATATAATACAAATGACACAAATACCCTTAATCAATTTGTTAAGCAAATAAAAACAAAGGATAACCATTTGATGCAAAATATGGTGCAACACTGTTCACCTTGTACCATTTTGTACCAAAATGGTGCAAAGTTTGGTACTATATTGGAGATATTTTGCACCAAAATTTGGTACATTTTAGTGTTTTGGTGTCTCCTTTGGAGATGCAGGAGGTGCCCGATCCAAATTTTGATTATGATTTCACTATGCGTCCTGTCTTAAAATCAATTTGTAGCGCATTTTAAGAATTTCCTTAAATGGTGGGAAGGCATTCGAGAAATAAACATATAAATAATAGGTCAAGACATCTACACCTTACAGATCGAAGAACAATGTGTCTAAACCTGCTGTCCAAATTCAAATCCTATCGCACCAGGGATCTCTAAGATATTACAGTTTAATGATGGGTGCATAGTTGCCCCTATTCCTGCAAATTTTCAGTCTTCCTACTTCTAATTTTGGAGAGAAGGCTCTCAAGTCATTAGCCAAGATAAATGAATAGACTATCCCTTGATAATATTATAGGGTACCAAAACACCCATTCTTTGTTTTGTTAAAGGCAAAACACATTATTTGGTTTTGAGAGCATATTTGGCCTAGCTTAAAAATTCAAAAGAAAATGGCTTCTCACCATCTTTTTTCTAGAATGTTCATGCTGCCTAAAAAAAATTAGTTTGGCTTTTAAGCCAGACCAAACATGCTCCTGTCAACCACATGGAAGACCTTACCAAAATTGAACGAGATCGATGGGGGCACTACGGTGATTTTATTTTTTTTGGCAAAGATTTGAGAGATTACGATGATGTTTGGTTAAGCTAGAAAGCAACTTAAAAGTAACTTATTTGAAATGTAACTTATTTACATTTCAAATAAATTCTTTTTAACTAACTTCTAGGTAGCCGAACATCTTACTTCTCATTTAGTTTGACTAGAAGCATATTTGGTCATGCTTAAAAGCAACTTTTTAGTGGTTTGTCTTATCAGAAACCTCCTAAAAAGGTGCCTCTGAGCATGGCCATACATGCTATAAATGACTTGAGCATTCTTCCCAAGTGCCGCAAGATATTTCGCAGAAATTGGGTGCATCCTTGATCAAACCTTTATTTCTCATCTCAAGTATCCTTTTAAGCTGAAATTGAACTGGAAGTTCAAAGCACATTGTTCTTCAAATATATACAGTCGACTTCAAAATCCAAGAGTTCCGAAGTGATTCTGTCAATCCCAATATTAACTCATTTGTGGTGAGATCTTTCCAATTTCTTGTTCGAATTTGCATTGTATTGCTAAGAATTATGTTCATCATGATATTGTCTTGTCGTATGCCTTCAATTTCTACTAGGCTGAACTCTTATATTAACCTAATTAAGCATTTCAAGAACCAGTCATCTGACTCCCAAGGTAACTTCTTCTACCCAATTATAACTAAATTCACAGCAATTTCTCCAAAAAAACCATACAAAATCATATTCAATAAAAATTTCTTCTGACACACTAACTAGATCAGCACCATAATGGCTAGATCTAACCAACTACACAACCAAACCAGCTCAAATTCAAAAGGCACCACATTTTGGACACAAAAAAGCAAGATCCAAAAAAAAAAAAAAAAAACTTCAAACAAAAATCAAAAGCCAACAGAATGTATAATTTGGATTTGGACACAAAAGAACTCGAGAGAAGATGAAGGAAAAGTGGTGAAAAAGAAGAGTTAACTAGTGAAGCGTCGGTGGAGCAGTGTCTGTATATAGGAGTAAGTGCGTGTCTGGACTCCGTATTTTTGAAATGAAACTGGATGGTATGGTGATTTTTGAAAAAAATAAGTGATAAAAAGAGTTCGAAATTTTTTTCATCTACATGTAATATTATTTGATGAAATATTTTGTGATTAAAAAAAAGAAAAAAATACAATGTAATTTAATGAGTACCCAAGAGGAGCTACATCACGTCATACTCCCTTTTTAACTATACATTTACACGGTAAATATTTTGTACTTGAACTCAAAATTGTCTTACTTTTATTCACGTATTTTCTCAAAAAATTACTATTTAAAACATTAAACTTTCAAAATAATGATGGGGCTAAGCAAAAACCCCATCTTAAGCAATCTCCTCCATTAATTTCATTCTGTGGTTACATCTGCTTCTTCTCCTTCCTTAAGCTGAGATCTGTGTTTAAGTAACCGAGACATAATAAAATGTAAATTATCTTCTTCTTCTAAAGGTGGTTACGATTATGTTAGCACCATAATTTTTATTTGTTACATCACATTTTCGTTACAGTTAAGTTCCTTGATCTTTGCTTGTTGTAATAATTATTTTCTTAATTTTTTTCATTGAAGTATTTTCTTCAATTTTTCATTAATTGGTACATCTCGTCCTTAATGATGATGTCAAAATATTTTCTTTTCATGCTTTTTTTGTTACAAATATGATGAAAAACATGTTATGCGGTATTTTCAATGGACTTTTTAGACAAACTGTTAATAAATAAATAAAAATTTGTTAATAAATAAAAATTTTGAGGATAAGAATGTCATGACAAATTGTTAGGGTTATAAATGTTAAATTGAGTAAATATTAAAAACTTAAGTGTAATTAAATATGGCGCAGGAAATAAAAATTGTAGCATGAATATAATTAGCCTTTTTAAAATTGGAACTAGCTAGTATCAGGACAGATGTTGTTTACTTATTATCATTTTAATATTATTGATTTTTTTCGACATTCAAAAATTTTGTTATTAGAATTAAAAAAATACTTATTCCCTTTTTGCTTTTAAAAAAAGTAAAAAATAATAAAAAAGTGCAATTTAATATGTATCACTTATTTTAAAACACTCTTAACAGAATTTCTTCCATAAGGGACAATAAGTGCTTATTAATAAGGTTGATTACCGGACGTGTTGAAAAAAAAAATTAAGACATAAATGTGACAGTAAGTAAACATTAATAACTTTTATTATAATTAAAACATGATGCTTATGTAAATAAAACTTACGATGCAAATATAATTACTCATGAGTATGATAATAAATAATTCATAGCTTCTTTCTTTCTTTTGCCGAGATCTTTTTGTAAATTTAACAACTAAAAAGATTCAATTAAAAGAGGGGTAATTATATTCAAATCACAATTTTAATTTCTTGCACCACATTTTAATTATAATTTAAGTTCTAAGTTTTTATTCATTATAACATTTATATCACTAACAGTTTTCATATTATCTTATTCTCCGACTTTTTATTAATTAACAAATTTTGGATTTAATAATAGTTTTATATCCAAAAACCCGTTGAAATAACATAAAACAACAAAATTTTCATCATATTTTAAAAAAAAAAAAGCGAGAGAAAAATGTTTTTCCTTCATTTTAAAATTTGAAAACAAAATATTTTAATATAAATCATCATCAAGGACAAGACGTACTAATTAATAAAAGGTTGAAGATAAGAATTTGACAAAAAAGTTAGGAAAATAATTGCTATAACGAACAAAGATGGATGCATTTAATTGTAAATAAAATGTGGTATAACAAATAAAAATCATGGTAATATAATCATCCCTAAATTATTATCAAAATTTCGGCAACAATTACCACTATATTATTAAAAATAAGAATTGTAATGTTTAGGTCTAAGTATTAGTTTGTGTTGAACAGTGAATTTTAATTTTAATTTTTTCTTTTCATTACTGTATAATTCTAGCATGCATCTATTTTAGTTTTGTCTCCGTTAATAACTGGTAGAAAAATATGAAAAACGAAAAGTTAATTTATCGCTAGGAGGTGAGTTGATTAAATCGATGATAACTGAATTTTTCCCCAAGTTACTATTTGCTCATAGATCCTATAAATAAATTTAAAAAATGATTACTCACTACTTACTTATATATTCAAATATTTACCCATCCATCACTCTTTTCAAATTTGTTACCAACAATTGACGAAAAAACTCCACTGTGCGACCGAAAGCTGATGTGGCACCTTGATGATGTTAATTTGTCCACTTGGATTAAAAATACATCCAACCAAAATGACAACTTTCGTTTAATTTGTGAAACAAATTTCTTCTAAATCTTAAAATAAAAAATCCCCAATTTGAAACTACAAAATCACCCAATCGTCAACCTAAAATAATGTGACCAAATTTCATTGTTTCAATCAATACAACCTAAAATGCTGGAATCAAGCGACGATGAATAAGATGTTTTGTTCCAGAAAGTATTTTAAACCTATTTCATTTCCGCCCCAAAAGTCAAGTAAATACCTATTCCTTCTGAATTGAAAGTTGTAAAACAAATCAAAATCAGACTCTTTTTTTCTTTCGTCACGTGTTACTTCCATTCACTTGACGACTGCTACATGGAAGAAGAATACCTGCAGCAGGGAGCAATGT